TCTCATAGATTCTGTTTTCCGTTGAACCCGGCAACCATAAAACAGTAGTAGGCATCTATAGTTGATATCTCGCATTAGCTGTCCTAGTTAATTTCAATCAATTAACTCGAACTAATTAGCGATTTAGCTATTCAATTAGTTGAGAGGATGTTTGTCTAAGTTGTTATTTATTACTATCATTGGTAATGCAGCCGTGTGTATAGCGAGTTCTTTTTAACGATTGGAGAATGTGTATTTGTTATAAACATTTTTATTGAGATTTGTCATCTAATTAATTAATTAATTAATAATTATTTTTTAACTTGTTTCATGACTATTATATTCTATCCATTTAACGTTTGCTAAATTTGAGAAATTAAACTTTGCACTTTTGTGTATGTGTTACAGGAAATGCTGGAAGATATGGCGGAGCATGCACTGCTGCTGCTTTTCTGAAGGTTAGTTGATTGATTGATTGATTAATTGTTCGATTGATTGGTTGATTGATTGATTGATTGATTGAGAACTGACTGACTGGTTGGTGGGTTGGTCAGTTGTTAAGAGGATTGGTTAATAGGCAAAGCGTCTTATAAATCAAACCTACCTGTGTGTTATTGAGAGAGTCGTTTAATCTAATGTTTTCCTTGAATTAGGAAAAGTCATCCATTTGAAAAATAAAATAAAGTTAATTTAGTTTAATATAAAAAAAGTTAAAATAACTTGAAATTAACTGAAATTAAATTAAAAAATTTTTTTTTATAGGAGTTCACAAAATGCGATCACTGGATGCATATGGACATTGCGGGGGTCATGATGAACAACAGTCAGGTCCCGTACTTGCCTAAGGGAATGGCAGGTTTGTAGATTGTTTCTGAATTGTCGATGTTTTTGGGAATTGTTGATGTTTTGTGTGAATTGTTGGTGGTGTCTGTGAATTGTTGGTGGTGCCTGTAAATTGTTGGTGGTGCCTGTAAATTGTTGGTGTTTTGTGTAAATTGTTGGTGTTTTGTGTGAATTGTTGGTGTCTGTGAATTGTTGGTGTCTGTGAATTGTTGATGTATTTGAATTGTTAGTATCTGTGAATTGTTGATGTTTTGTGTGAATTGTTGGTGTCTGTGAATTATTAGTGTTTTTTGATTTTTTTTTTCTCTTGAGTTCATACACCTTGATTGTCTAATGAAATAAAATAAAAATTTTAAAGGGAGACCCACAAGAACCTTAGTTGAGTTCATCAGCAAGTTCAAGAAACCATGAAGCAAACTTTCCTCCTAGTTTCATTTTATAATAAATTAAATTACTTGATTTATTTTGGGATTAACGTTTAATTATCATCGTTGTTGTATTGATTTGTTTCAATTTATTTTAATTTTATATACGATTTTAATTTAGGTAACTGGATATTTATATAATGGACTTTTGAATATGTGCATGTATTTGTTTTCTTGTTTGTTTGCTTGTGTTTGTTTGTTTGTTTGTTGAAGATGGGTTTCTTTATTAAGTATTCTTAAAAGTATTTCTTGTGATGATCTCGGCGGGTAGGTTCTGTTATTTTGATGACTTTAATGGTTTATAATAATAAGATTTTATGTGTTGCTATGGGTCTTGTGTTCATAACTTGTTAGCGAATGGTTGTTTATACTCATTTTAAGGAGTTTATTGGAATACGAAGCGTAAAATAAAAGCAATCCGTTGACCAAGTTTTGCGATCTTTCGATTTGATTTAAATGTTTTTCGAATTATTTTCGTGCATTTGAACCGTCGCTAGAAGTAAAAAATAGTTTCATCTTGAAATCGGTCGGTTTGATTGAGTAATTTATATTGCGGAAGTCTAAAGCTGCATCATCAACATTAAATAATAATCACGATTCAATTCCAAACGACCGTCTAATAATTTTTTCATGTTTTTTTTTTCTGGATGTAAGTTCGTGCCATTTGTTTTTATTCTTTATCCGCCAAGATCTTTTTTTGGAAACTTCTCGAAAGTTCCTTCAGATCCAGTGGACTGTCGTGGAAAACTTAAAAAATTTTCATTGTTTAACCGTCAACATTATCAACCTAACAAGCACCATCTTCATATTTTCAGTCACCTTCATCATTTTCATTGACACTTTCATAACCATCCACATCGTCGCTGAAATTTTTATTGAGAAAATTTGAAATGTATAAAGATGAAAATTTGCCTAGAAGCTAACTTATCATGACTTTGATAAAAACCTGGACAAAATCAGGACTAACAATGTATATCGACAACACACTGATCGTCGAAACAACTTACTCATTTCAGCACACACCAACTTAATCATTTCATCAAAACAGCAATTTGCTTATTTGATCACCCCAAAATTCACTCATTTCATCTTACAACAACTCACCCATTCTACTATTTTCATACAGATACTCCCCCGTGAACGCTGATCTCATCCTGTTGAGGTCCAGCCTGTCAAAGTGGGCCTCCAGTTTCAAAACTTTAAAATTGGCAGTTTCGTCCAAAGGTAATTCCGCATCTTGCATTTCTTGTGATGGTGGGGTTAAAAAGGTTAAAGGTAAAAGGTCTATTATATACTTCCTAGGTTCAACAACACACAAACATTTGTTATGAATACGTGCTAAACGACTCATCACACGCGAATCAATCAATCATTTAGTTTATAAAGCGCTATTTTCGCGATGTTCAACAGCGCTCCTCAATGAATTTTGCAAGCAGATGGGTCTTGAGATCCGCACTGAACTTCGAAATGATGGAGGTAGTCAGAGAAGGAGGTAGAGAGTTCAAGAGAAAAGGGCCAGAAAAAGCAAATGCAGATTAAGCAAAAGAAAGTTTAACACGAGTTAAAAAGAAGTGAGTACAAGAAGACGATGATAAAATTTATTCTATATTTTATAAGTAGCCAGTGCATGAAAACAAGATATGGAGATATATGAAAAAAGAAAGGGACATGAGCAACTGGACGAGCAGCAGAGTTAAAAGCTTTACTTAAAGGATGGATTGTAGAATCAAGAAGACCATAGAAGAGCGAGTTACAATAATCAATCCTAGATAAAACTAAAGAAGTAACAAGAAGGAGGAGAGTAGAATCGTCAAAAAGCAAAAGTTTTTTTTAATCTACGTTGATGGTAGTAAGAAATTCTAGCAACAATATTAATCTGAGAAGAAAGAGACATGCTAGAAGCCTAGACTACGAAACTTGTGAGAAACATCAAGAGTTTTATAATCAGGTAAGATAATAAAAGAAAAAGTTTCGATTTATTAGAACAAATTAATTCAAATTTAGAAAGATTAAGATAAAGAAACATAGTCAGACATAGAGATAGATTACGAAGAAGACTATTGAGATTAGATAGAGGAAGCATGTGATTGGCGGGAATCTTTTTGTCATATTCCGGCGTGATGGCTCAATGGTTATAGGCGCCTGGTCATGCTGCTGCACTGACTGGGTTCGAATACAAAGATAGATCCCCGCCTATCATATGCAATGTGTATGATGCGTGGTTTGCCCGCGTATTCATATACGCTGTGTGTGTTTGTCATTGAAAGCCCTGAAGCAAGTGCAAAGGAGAGAGTATGCTTTTAATTTATTTAATGGAAAACTTATGATGATATGATCAACATAATGACGTTCTATACAATATTAGACGATTCAATGTGAAAAATTAAAATTAACTATGACAAGAACGAGGATGAATAAGATGAAGTAGATGAATAACCATTTCTGAAATAAGCATTCTCCCTGTTGAACAGTTCAGCTGCTCGTTGTTCATCTGTTACTGTTAAGGTTACATTTTTTAGACTTTGTTGAATTTTTTCTAAATGCATTTGTTGGTTTGCAGCCTATTAATTGATATCTCTATTTATATGAATAGTTAGTGTTCATCTCATCAATTTAGTAGCATATGTCCACCTACTTTCATTCCATCTTCTGCCATCTATCCAATCGAGATAAATCGAGATAATGGTGGCATAATACAATATGGATTTCATTTTTTTTTTGGTTAAAAGAGGGGATTATTATTCATGTGCTATAATTTCAAATTTGAACAACCAACTTTCAAACTCTTCAAACTTTGATTTTTGTTATGCTTTCAACAAGATATCTGTCATTAAGTTACGTCATCTGGACAGCGATATAAAAATGTTTTGTTTTGTTTTTGCAAGTCGTTAAGTTCATAGAAAAATTGAAAATCTGTTATTTCTAGTTAATTTCAATTCAGTGCATGGTTAGCACTAATTTGAAACACTTTTGTAGCACTAAGTTGAAGATATTTTAAAAACCAAGGAACTTTGCATCGTGTCCTATAATAAATGAATGTTTTTGTAAGAAGTTGAATTCAGATATTTAAAAATTTTAATATAAAAGTTAAAGAACACACTTTTAAAGAAAGTCTGACTATTTCATTTTATTCTATCGGAAGCGTAACCCAAAGAGGACTATGGGGCTGAATATCCAGAAAAACAGGTTTGAGGTTACATTTAACGAAATTTTAATGAATTTTGGCTTCAAATTTTGTAAGCTTTCAACGACAGCATTCTGCATTTTTTAACCAAGTTTAAAAAAGTTCATGAAAAAGTATAAAATAAGCCAAAGAATTCGTCAAATTTTTTTGACAACTCCCAAACTCTGGCAACAACACTGCATCCAATGTCCCATCATAAATTGTCATGAAAAGAGTCAGCTGCACAATACTCATAGATCTCAATGACGTGGGAGCGAATGTTTGTATACATTGCGTTCAATTAGAGTAAACAAATGATTGTTTATTTAAATTTTAATTTCATAAAAATGCTCTGATCAGTTTGTTTTCTGCATTTAATAACCGGACATAAAAATTTAAATATGTTTTTTTATCTAATAATAATTGATATTTTTGTGATAAATTAATAGCGAATTGTTAGATTGTTAACTAAATTTGATCATTATTTTTACTCAACATTAGTTGAAACATTGTAAAATAAGTCGTATAAAGACAACGCGATAGTTCGATTAAACATTTCGTAGTTGACTTTGTGAAGGAGCATTTTCAAGATGAACAAGCAGATCGACATGACTCAGAGCCTCAGCACTATGTTTCTGCCGTTCACGACCATCCCAAACAGACATATCATTGTTTGTCTTATTAATTTAGCTATTTAAATAATAATAACTTAAATCATTTATCTAGATTTAATTGACATGTTCATAAATCTATAACAAACAACAATTCTACCTCTGTTTGTGTAAAAGGAATGATAATTTTGAGCGAAACTTGATTAAAGATTGAAATTAATTTATAATCTCAGCAAAAAGAATTGTTTTTTAAAAATCGGAAATTGAATTTTTTCACAATAAATGTGAAATTAAATACAATTGATACAAATCATTTTTCATGAAAAACAAGATTTCCAATAAGATTTCCATCGTGATTCAATAAAAAATTGCAGACCCGGAACTGGAGGGGGGAGAGGTTGGGCAGAGGGCAAGCGCCCCTGGCAACAAATTTTATGGGGGGTAGTTTTAAGTTTGTGGTGTGTAAATTAAACAACTGCATTAAAACAATAGTAATTGTTTGGTGGGAGAAGGGTCATATTTTGAAGTTTTTTTTATTTGATCCTTGATTTACTTTGCTGCTGCAGCCAAGTTTTAGCAAGTTAATAAAGAAAACGCCATCTGTTGGAGTTCAAACAAAATGTGCCGTCAAATGTTCGCTCAGTTCTGAAGCTTTTGTCAAGTGGCAGAGCAGAGCTTTTTTCAAGAAATCAACGAAAAACTTTTCAAAGTTTAAATTTCCATTTTTTATTTGTTTATGTTAATTAACTTATTTTTGAAACTTCAGCAGGTCTTTATACCAACGTAACATTTTGTTTCGTATGTGGCCGGGACTGTGGAGACGCCGCATTGATAGGACGAAACAATTTTAATTTTTGATCATTAGCACCGTATCAATATTAACCGCTCTGATCTGTCGCCAACAACATTTCATTTCAGATAAAACTACGTTCTTATTAAAAAATCAATAATTTTCATTGATGGGGACCAGAAGATTTTAATTAAAAATTAAAAAAAAAAACAAATTTCAGTTTCAGCGTGAGTTACAAGATACGAAAAAAGGACGACTCGACATGCAGCTTGTACCACTACGACGATGTTGATCTGAGGAATCAGCTAGTGAGCCGAGATGATGATTCTCTGTACGGCGATCTCTACAACAGGCAGACGGGCAGCCTTCCATCACTGGGAGGTCTGGGACTTAAACTGGATCAACTGCGCTCCGAGCTTCCCTCCTCTTTGAAGAATGTTTCAGGGAATACGGATGATGAAGTGAGTTATTGTTATATTTTTTGTTTTTGAAATACTTTTAATCAAATTCAGACGTAAAATTAACTTAAATAAATACAAAATTTAAAGTTTAACATTATATTTTTTCCTCATTTTAAGAAGTCTTTGTATAACAAACTTTTGGCCAAAAAACTGGCTCTTGAAAAAAAAATGATGAGCCAAATATTAAGGAGACCACCGAAATTTGCTGATGAGTCTTTTGGAAAGAAAGACAAAAAAGAAAATCCTTATAAAAAGAAACTCAAATCAAACAAAGAAAAGTTTTTGAAACTTGTAGCGACGTCACAACCGAACTTTGGACCCTGCCCTGATATGTAAGTTCTTAAAATGAAAAACAAAAGATGAAACACATTGATAAAACGCATTTGCAAACAATCGCAATAGTGCAATTTTGTAAATCAAATTTAGAACTAACGCCCAGTGATAAAGAACCAAATTTTTTTATGTTGATAATAGGTGCACTCAAATTAAAATATCAAAATCTAAAAAAATTGTGTTTGCTTTAGTACATGAGTAAAAAATTAAAAAAAATTAAAGGCAACACAAAACCTTCGATTTAGAGGATCTGTGTGGAGAAATGTGCAGTAGACAAGCGGGCGATGAAGATCACGAAGAAGATGAAAAATACGTAGATGATGATTATAACGCTTACCAGGATGTTGGGAACGACGACTACAGCAAAATGTTCTTGGATGACTACAGAAGACTCGTGCAGTATGGAGATCTCAGACCTCTGCTGTGTGAAATCATAAGAGCTGCCAGGAACAGTAGAACCACAAATCTCAAATTGTTAATTTAAATTAAATTTGTTTGATTGAATTGGAACTATTCAGTTACTCAAATTTGTGTTAATGAAAAAAAATTGTCATTTTTAATATAAAGGCATTTCACGATGGCTTTATTATTTTCCCATGCATGTGCAAAGTGGCGGATCCAAAATGTAGAGCGGGTTTGATGAATTTCTCGTGACGAATATCTTTCTGCTTTTTTCTCATTAATTTTTTAATTCAAGACTAAATGTTCGTTTTGATAATTTTTTTGTCGTTCGTTGGTTTAATTTAAAAAAGAAGGCAACTGTGTTATAATCTTTCAATATTCTGCTACATTTACAGATATGTTAATAACTTTGTATGGATCTAATTGCTGTACCTAATGCTTTACCGCATCTTCGTTGGACCCGCAACTGCAAGTGCATGCAAATAAAATTCAAATTAAAAACTTTCAAAATAAAAAAAGCAAATGATAAAATTAATATCTGCTTGTAAATCCAAATAACTTATAATATTTTCCTAATTTAAACTAAGCGATCTTTTTTTGAAAAAGATTTTTGGCTCGATATTTGGAAGCCAAGTTTGACGGAAGGTTGTACATTGAAAATCTCTCCGATGACGAAGAAAAATCTCGTAGGACTTGCAAATTTTTTAACATTTGCAATAAAAATGCTTAATAAAATATTATATTTTTAGCCTTATTCATTTTCAATGAGGTAAGATCAGTTGATTAATATTACGTTTCAAATAAACAGACCACAGTTTTGAGTTCCCGAAAATAACAAATGAAGATGATAACGATTATGTCCAATTTATCCTTTACGAGTCATTGAAAAATTTGCATTTTTGTCCAGGTTGCTCATACAATTTTAGATTTTATTTCATTGTTTCTCGTTGGACATATTTGTTAACGGCAACTTCATACGATGAGGATTTTTTTAAATTTAAAAACTTTGTATGGAAATGTGTTTGAATGTTAAATGAATTAATTCTTTTTGGATGAAAACAGCTCGTATGGAAGATCGAACAGTAAAAGCGAAAATATCTGACAGTGAGATTTGTTCAAATTCAAGCGAAAATACGAAAACGTCTTTTCTTCGTGTGAGACAAAAAGTATATAGACCAATTATTCTCCAACTACCGCAAGACCAAGAAATAAAAATCACCGAGTAGAGTTTCAAATTAAATGATTTTAAATTAGATAACTTTAACTATATATAAAATTGTTAGAAAATAAATTTGTCGTGCAGAGTTAAGAAGAAAAAACCCGTAAAACCTGTAGAAATTGATCTGGGAGAACAACCATTTGACGAGGAAGATGAGTTGGCCTACTTGAAGTATCTCATACAAAAGAAAAACTTGAATCGTCCCATTGAATATGAAGTACGTGACATAAAAGGTACCGAGCAAACAGTTGCGAAGGATTTTATCATGGAAAGGTTTTTATTTTATCTCTTCCATTTATTCTAACGTTTATATTTAGCAAAACAACTATCGTCAAAATTTTTATTTGCCTGCTGTTTCTCAACGTTTCTTCATTTTGTAATTTGATTTGTTATTCCAATTATTTTCTAATGATTTAGTACTAGCATAAAAACTAATGAAATGAATGAATTCTGGTAACATTCAATTCACAGTCCGTTCAGTCATTTATTTAACTTGCAAAAGCATCGCGAAAAAAGTCCTGTGAAAAAACTCATTGATATCTCACCAACATGGCATGCCATTTTAAAAAAACATAAAAAAGATTATGACAAATGGAAAAAAAATCCCCGCGGAGAGATTTATTGGGAGCCAGGTGAACGTTTCAACAAAGAAAGAATAGTTTTGCTTCCGCCGAAAATAGAGAAAGTCACCGAACTTAGCGATTACGAAAAAGAGTTAGTTTATTATTCAAAGTAAAAAATTTTTTTAAAATTTTTTTTGCGTTCTGAGAAAAAATTATAACGGAGACAAAACATTTTAAATTACGGTGAAATATTTTGGGGGCATCCAACGTTATTCAAGTTAATTAAACAAAGTTCTCTATTTCAACAAAAACTCTTAGTTTTAAAACATTTCATACATGAAAACGCAAAATAGCGAAGCCCTGTCTAAATTTTTTATTAATATATCAAAATCAAAGCTAATTATGAGCCGTAGAAATTTTTATTTCATTGAATTTAGTCGTAGCGTTTAATTTAAATTTCAAAGACGCATTGCCAAGAAAAGAGCCTTTTGCACGCGTAGGCTGGCTGCCGAGATGAAATACAACGAGTCGTCAAAGAAGGAAATGTTCAATGCACTAAAATCACTCATCGATATTGAGAGGGAATTCCACCATGACAAGAAGCTACCACTTGAAGACACCGTGCCAGATCAACCAGCCGAATTTCCAACGTCGCATTACGAAGAATTATTGGCGAAAGAGAAAAAAATAAGGCAAGAAGCAACGATTCAATCAACGATTCTACAAGAAACATTAGCAAAAATTAAAAGAAAGAAAAGTAAATCGTTGTTACTGAAAAATTTTGAGTGTCGAAAAGATTGCACTCATGACGACGACGAAGACGATTATCGTGCAAGTCTCGCAGAGGATGCGCCAGATGAGGAGGATGAAAACAAATCCGCGATTGTAAAGAAAAATATATCATTGTGAGATTTTCTAATAATTCTAGACCTACTTTTTATAAAAGCTCTTTTTAATTATTTGCAGGTTGAATTCATATTCGAGTTGTCTGAAAGATATCGGTGAATGGAAATGTCTGACCAACATTATACAAAATATAATTAGAAACTCTCTAAAAAATCAAATAAGTTATCTGGCTGAACAAATAATAGTACAGGACAAAAAAAGCGTCGCATCTAAGAATGCCAGCCAGTTGGCAGCTCCACATGTCCAGAAGTTCAGTGAAAAGCTTTGCGTTTGCTACTTCAGACATTTGCTGGTGCAGGAATCCAATAAAAATAAAATTTTCAAATCCGTTTTAGAGTCTATGAATGAAAATCTTCTTAACGGAATACTTGTCTTCATTGGACAAGGGTGCACTAATTTGAACAGCATGTTATCGTGGGAGCTGTCCACTTCTGATTATAAATACACTGGACTAAACGAAACTCTTTTAAAGGAAGAAGATATGTGGTATGTAGATTCAATTGTTTGAAATACTATCTAGTTTTGTAGAAAATCTTTTGTCATAACGATACCGAAATTAGCTTAAGTGAACCATTCACGTTTCAGGCCTTTTGTTGCTAATTGGGAAGATTTTTTTAAACAACCGAAAAAATTGCCACTGACATTAAGAGATGATTTTGGTCGTGCAATAGATTTCTTCAGTGACCTCGAAAACCAGGACCCAATGTGCAGCACTGTCGAACCTCTCCAACCGATAAACTTGATGAAAATTGAGAATATTTGGCAGGACCTGCCTTCAACGCAAGATTTGGTGGGAAACACCGAATTTTTTGAACAGCCTGTTAAGGATATGAAACTCGTGTTAAAAGTTAAAGATTTAGATCCAAATATTTTTAGTTAGTGATTTTTTGCAATTTTATATATCAAAATTGATATATATTTTCAAGTATTTTCAAAAATAATTTTAAAATTTAGATCTGTTGGAAATTAAAAAAACTGCGGAAGAGATAACTAACTCTACTATAAAAGATCTCAATCTAATTGAGATGTTCAGCAATTTCTCAAAAGATGTAGCAAACACAAACTCAGCAATTTTGTCGCAAAACTGGGGAAAGGAAAAAATTCAAGCGCTCTTCATTGACAGCCAAGAAAGCATCGAAACAAATAAAGTTTTGGATCAAAGAGATGTTGAAATTTTTTAGTTTTATATTTGCTCAAAAAATTAGTTTAAAAATTAATATGCGAAAGTGAATGTAATACAGGTTAGAAAGTCACTTGCCGTTGACCTTGCCAACACGATGGAGGCCGAGGCACCGGACAGTCTGAAAAAACCTGGCCTTCACAATATGGTCCATATAGAGGAAAGTGACTCCTCGTCAAATCAAGATATGTCAGAAATGATTGTTAACAGAGGTTATTTTTTAGACACCGTTTATAAACTTAGCTATCTTATAAGCATCTATAAATCCGAACCTAATACTCTCTGCAGACAAACAAACGCAGAGTGAAACAGCCTTGAAAGATGAGGAACCTGCCTTCCGACAGAACAGATTGAATACGCGTTCAGCTACCCAACTCGCCGCTACGCTACAACCCCTCCTATCAGCTCTCAACTCCAAAAATGCATCCCTCTTCTCTTCAAACCTCATACAGAAAGATATCGATTTTAAAGCTATGACGGGCCAGAATGTGAAAGTAACCTTGTCCATCAAAACCGACAAGGAAGCCGATAATACGTACAAGAAGCGAAAATTTTTGATGGATCAAAGACGAAGCAGAAAAATTAATCTTATGTTGAACATGGAGGTTTATGAAGAATTTTTTTTATATTGTAGATGAATTTTCCGATCATAAATCAGTTACTAACAAAATAAAAAAAAATAATCCTTAAATCGTTCAACATAAAAATTTTAAATTTTACAAATAATTTTATCTTAACGTATTCGGTTCACATAACTTATAATTGAATTAAAGCTGTTAACCCCATGACGTTCGTATGACACCACACAAACAAAATACCGAGCAGATGATGGGACGGGCCAGTCATTCCAACATCATCTCCGACCTGAACACTCCAAGAAGTATGAAAATGTTTAAGAAACCCTCACTCAAGAACGACGACGAAGCGTCGCAAGCAGACGAAGGCAGCTCAACTTCCGTCGTCGACGCCATTAAGAATCTCACGCCTAGATCAACACAACTCGCTTTCAACATCCTCTACGACAAACTCAGCAAATTAACAAATAGCGAGAATCAGAACTTTGAATTGAAGTCTTCCAGCTTGTTCGCTCTCAATCCCTCATTTTCGCAGTACGCTGAGTCAACATTCAGCCTACCAGTACCTCCTCCTACTACAAATCATTCCCACATTTCCAGATCCTTCTTGTCAGAGAGGGGATGTTGGTTTTTGTTGCTGTTTTTCTGCGTTTGTGGTCGCCTTCTATTGTGTAGTCTTGTTAATTACATTTTCAAGTTAATTTCACTAATATTCTTTAGTTCTTATAACTATTCAGCTTCGTTATAAATGCTTTTTTTCTGTTGTTTTTAAAACATCATACGCTAATTTTTGTCACTAGACAGCATTATTGAAATGTTAAAAAATTAATTACCTTTAAATATCTTATGTCGCTATAACAAAAAGAATATTAAATATATTTTTTAAAATCAGCGATTTCAGAGATAGCGAGAACAATGGCGAAGAACAAAGCGATCAAGCCGATAGACGTGATCAAACTGTTGGAGTACCACCAAAAACTGATGGCTGCTCTGAGTGACGCCAATTTCTCGAGAGATACCACGACGTCTCAGAGTCTCAACATCATCAAACCATCTACAAAAGTTGTTGTCTATCCCAGCGACGGTACAACGCATGCCGTCGATAGCAGTGATGCAACTGAAGATGCGGCAAATTATGTTGCGATTAATGTCGCGAATGATGTTGTTGCGTATAGTGTTGCAAAAAATGTTGCAAATGATGTTGCGATTTATAAGACGAATGGTGCTGCTCCCGACGAGGCTACTAATGATGTTGGAGATGAGGTTGTTGCGGATGAGGATGAAAAGAATGACGATGCCGTCTCATAATGGTGAAATGATGCATCCACATCGAGTTGCGAATAATGTTGCTTGCGAATGATGTTGCTGCGTATGGTGTTGCAGACAATGTTGCAACTGATGTTGATTATTTGTTGGTTGATTTATTTATTATTTTAGTGTTGTGCTGAAGCTGGTTACCCCAACGTTAACATAGAGGGGTGAGAATTTTGATGATGTAATTTTGGTGGTGACAAACGTTAAGGATGATAGTGGTGGTGAAATAAATGATTTTAAAAATGACTTTGGTGATGACGTGTGAGGAAGATGTTTCTTTTTATCATTACGTTGATAAAAATGATATTCCGTTTTCTAATATTAAAAATCACATGTTTCATTTTTGTTTTGCTCACTTACTTTAAGAACAAGTTTGATTTTTGTTCATTTGAAAAAATTTCTCATTCATGGTTAGTTTCTTTTTATCTTTTTTCAATTAATTTTTTTTTGATTTTATAAAAAAACTATTTTATAAAAAATTTGCAGTGTATTTTAACAACAATCTAGATTACAAAATAGCATAAACACAGACATAAACGAAACTTTTAACGAGGAGGAACATAGTAATTTAGTCAATGAAGATGACTAAAATAAATTTCACCCTAAAATTCTTTCACCTTAAAAATGCCTTTTAAATTTTAGATATACTCAATTAAATTTATCGAAAGCTCTTTCACACAACTGAAAAACTCCAACAAATTGAGTCTGCGTATGTTTATGGTGGCTGGTCTTACGTGCAATGGTATTATTATATATAGTGCGTACGATCGTACGAGACGCTTGGATATATTTACAGAGCGTTTTCTTTTCAGCATCGTTCGAGTCACAATGATGTTTGTTTGGTGGCTATACCGACCGATAAGTTTCACTCACTCACTAGTTTATTATCTCTAAATGAAAATCTTCACTTTTACATTTTAAATATTTTAATAATCGCTTTAGTTGTTTAATTAATTAATTAATTAATTAAATAAAAATTAACTATTTGTTATTTTATATCGACAAGTTATTGGAAACCATTGAATAAATGTTTAATTAGGGTAATAAATTTTTTAAATTTCTCAAAAATTAAAATAAACAGCCAACGTGTATTAAATATTCAAATTAAATATTTTTACTCTCATTAATTTTGGTTGTTGAATCGTTTATCATTTGGATACATGTTACAAGAATTGTCAATTGACAGAAGTTCGTATTTTTAATTAATTGAGAAATTAATTTTTTCTGCTAATTCTACGTTCAACCATTCGAAAATAATTTTTTTGACCAAAAATTGTGTAATATTCATAATAATGCCATTGACGACTGCTGGACTATTCCTTCTAAACAAACTATTGAAATTTTAAGAATCCGGTAATCATTTGTTATCCTCTGGTGAATTTTTTATTTAAATTTATTTACCGCCAACTTCTCTAACTTTGAAACCTGTTATTTCATTCATCAGCAACTTTTTTTTGCAATTTTGCAATAAAATCTACAATTTTAACTCGAATTGTCAAATCGAAAAATGCAATTTTTATAATAAATCAATAGCGTTGGCGGAAATTGGTTTGGGGTAAATTTGGAAGTTGTAAAGTTTTTAAAAATTGGGAAGAAATTAATGTGGGTGGTGTCAGCCCAAAACCCCCCTTTTTATGGCTAAACTCCCTAAATCTCGACAAATAACAAAAGTTTCGCAAACTTTGCAGTTTTTTATTCACTTTCAGATTCTCGTTAAATTAAACATTAAGTTAATTTCATCAACTCGCACACGAAAGCGCTGGGACATTTGATTGCCCATTTAATTTTTGAAACAACAAAATTTATTTGAGATCATAGAGTGCAGGCTACTTTACGGTTGCACTGGAAAGGTTGTCTGTTTGTTTGATTGTCTGTCTATTCGTTCATTTGTTTGTTCATTCGTTTATTTGTTTGTTCATTCGTTTGTTAGTTGGCTCCCAGAAAAAATTTCATTAAGGACATTTTATTAAACATGGACTGCAAGGAAAAGAATGCTATTTAACGTTAAACAGTCATACACGCAACAAATTAAATTAAAAAAATTTATTCCCATAAATTTTTTCAATCATGTAAAAATTCTATTTCAAAGTAAATTTAATCATTTTATTTATTTTTTTCTATCAAAAAGCTGAACAAGAAAGCTTTACTATTCAGTTGTGTTGTAACATAAAAATATATTGCTAAAAGAAACACAAATGACCAAATCGTATTTAAGAAAAACCAATAGCTCTAAAACAAATCCATTTTATTATTTAAAACTCCTAACAGATCATCATTCTGCCATCCACGTTTTGTTTGTCATCATCATCACCAGCTGCCATCATTCTCATAATGTTATTGCTGGCCATTTTTTATGCAATAATATCAAGCAACCACTCCGTGCCAGTCGTGGCTGATATAATTTTCAGAATTATCATCCTCTTGTCTCTCTCTCTCTCTCTCTCTCTCTCTCTCTCTCTATATATATATATATATATGTATATGTATATATTTCATATGTATATTTTATATATTATATGTTATATATTATTATTTTATATATTATTTATATATTATATTATATTTATATGTATATTTTATATATTTATTTTATATGTATTATATATATATATATATGTATATATATATATATATATATATATATCGACAATCATTTCCAGCAGGGGATTTGTATAACTCAGGCCTTTGTTCCGGTGATTAGCATTTCTCGTTATCAGTGACTTTTTTAATTTTACTGTTTTCTTTATTAAATAGATATGGCATCTTTCATGGACATATATATACAATTTACTATATAGAAGTCTATGGTTTCTTTTTTGGACACACACACTACACTTACACACACACACACACATACACACACACACACTCACACACACACACATAAATGTATATATATATATATATATATATATATATATATATATATATATATATGTGTGTGTGTGTGTGTGTGTGTGTGTGTGTGTGTAATAGCGTGCGTGTTAACATTCATTATTTTAAAAATAAATATAGTAATCATCATCGCCCTAATCGTCGTCTTCATACCATAATTATAAAATCATCATCATCATCTTCATCACCGTTTTACCACCATCATCATCTTCATCTTCTTCTTCATCCTCATCATCGTCATCAATTTCACCGTTTACGTCGTCATCATCATCAATATCATCATCAATATCATCATCATCATCAATATCATCATCATCATTCTCATCATCATCAATGTCATCAACTTCTTATGAATTTCTTATCGACGCCTCGCAGATATTCATGGCAGAGAATATACGCCTAACCCTCAAAACCTGTTAGGAGCGCTGATATGTGAAGAAGAATAACATTATGATGATGGGAATAAGTATAATCCTCATCATAGTCATATAATCACATTTTTATTATTATTAATGTTATTATTATTATTATTCCATTAATCTTCACAATATTCGCTATAAATAACACTCATCGACTGGTCACCATCATCAAAATTATCATCATCGTATTATCATCATTACCAACACCACCCACATCATCAATATCATCATCATCATCATCATCGTATTAACATCATTACTACCACCATCACCTCCATCATCATCATCATCATCATCATCATCATCATCATCATCATCATCATCATCTACATCATCATTATCACAATCAATGATACATCAATCCATCATAGCAGATAAGTATGTGAACGTTAAAACGGCAGTTTTGGTTTAAGTCTGCATTTGCATCAGCCAACGCACGCAGTTCATTCCGCATCAAAGAACGTTTCAAGTGCAAATCTCTCTCTCTCTCTCACGCACACACACACACACACGCGCACACTACACACACGCCGCATACACACAAGTGTAAGCCACCTCGTAAGAATTGTTATGTTAAAATGTAATGTTACTATGATATTGTCATAATGACTGAAAATTATTTCACAATGTTATGTTTAATATGTATCGCTATCAAATTTAGTGGGATAATTTTGAATGTTTACCAAATTTGCTTCACTTTTCTAACAACTACCAATTTTGTGTGTTAAACCAAGAAAAATCAAACTTCATTTTCCATTTTTGTTCTGGTAGATGATTTTATTTAAAAATAAAACTTGTTAGGGCATGTCAGGCTGTCAAATATTCATTTAATCGAATAAGCAACTCTGCGATTTTGATGTCAGGGTATAATTCTTGACGGAGAGACAAACAACACAATCGAAGCCACTCATGCTCTTGTTTGTTGTCTTTCATTGCATTGTTGGTTTTTTTTTTTTTTTTTTTTTTTTTTGTTAAAAATTTAATTTTCGTGAAGCTTTTTTTTAATGATTTTTTGTTTTAAGTTTTTACATTGCTGGTGTATTGAAAATCTTAAAAAGTGCGTTGTCATTTTTTAGATTCCATAATCATCACCGACCGTCTGAACAAAATTAATTTCTTTGAAATATTTTTATAATACAAAATTTATAATAAAAAATATTTATATTTATTTTCATTAGTTTAAAAGAAAGGAAAAAATAAAACAAACGAAAAAATAAAATGAATAAAAACATTTTCTAGCGTGCCAAACACGTTTATAAGACACTTTGTTTTGATTATTTTGTTATGTTAGAATCATCTTTATAACTTTTGTCTATTCTGATTTTTCTCTTTAATTGAAAGCTAAACAAACAGTCATATTTATTTTATCAAATAGCCAGGACTTCATGGTATTTGTTGATGTAATTCTAATGAAAAATTAAATTTTTAAGTGTAAACAAAAATGTTTCCAAACATTTAATAATTTCAAAATTTTGTTGACTCCTATAGAAGATATATCAATTGATAATTAATTTTCGCATGACAGAGAGAGAGGGAGAGAGAGAGAGAGAGAGAGAAAGAAAGAGAAAGAGAGAAAGGAGAGAGAGAAAGGAGAGAGAGAGAAAGAGAGAGAGAAAGAGAGAGAGAAAGAGAGAGAGGAAGAGAGAGAGAAAGAAGAAGAAAGAGAGAAAGAGTGAAAAATAAATCGAGGAACGAATGACTGTTTAGCGTGATCTCATTAATCAATGCAGAAATTTAACAGATTAAAACCGCTAATTAAAATTAACAGTTAATTAATGGGAAATTATCCAAGAGGTCAGCCTTGTCATGCCATGCTATGTTGTGTTTCAAGCTTTTGGAAAAAAATTTCAACAGTTTTTGCTGTTGGTATTGTTGTGTAATACTCACTGTATTTTAATTGTTGCTAATGGTTGTATTTGTATCATTAGTATGATCGATTGTATTTATTTATATAATAATTAAAATTCACACATCAACAGCAGACAGACAGTTCACGTAAATACACGTAAAACCACGCATCCCACCCATTGCATCCAATAAGCCGGGACCTTTCTGTAACCGAATCCGGTCCTTGCAATAGCATTGCCAAGCACTTTACCGCTACACCATGGCGTATTATGATGAGATTGTTGATTTTATGGTGTTATTAGATTTTGTAATTGTTCGTGTGGATTAATCCTGTGGTTATGTGTTTGTGTGTATGAACGTTTGGTTTATTAATATTTTCTAATGGTTTTGTTGTTATTAATGAAGAGGTTGTTGATGTGGTGTTGTTTTTTTTATTGTGCCATGTTGTTGTTTGAAGCTGTGATAATTAAACTATACATCTCTATTTTGAGATATACGTGCGTTTGGACAGAACTAACCAAAACGATTTTGAACTATTTAGCCGTGATAATATAGAGTGTTGTTGTTTTGTTATATTGTTTTCTGTGTTATATTAATTTGCTATGCAGTAATTGTTGCGAAATTTGTTGTTGCATCGTTGTTCGTCTGATGTTTGTTTTTTTTCCATCATGGTTTGCCTTTCCTAGAAAGTTTTTTCCAACAGAATCTTGTCACGTTTTGTAGAAAGGGAGTTTTCCGCGCAAGATGCTTTGCGGTTGTAGTGACGTTGTGTTAATATTTTTGGTGTTATGCTGTTGTTGATGTGTTGTGTTATTGTTGCTGATGTTGTTGTTGCGTTATTGTTTTTTTATGTTGTAGTGTTGTTGTTGTTGCTGTTTTGCCAGTTGAAAAAGTTTTTTTTTCAAAAATTATAAAAGGTTTTCGTCTTAAAAAAACACTAGTGATTAATTAACACAAACAGTTTGTGTTGCTGCGTTGATTTTATTTGCTAGAGCAATATTTTATCGTTATTCACGTCCTCTAAAAAATTATTTTTACTCTACGATCCATTTTACCACAGCTACAAACAACAACACGGCACAATAAAAAACACAACCCAACAACTGAATGACCATCACCAATAACAACAAAACAAATAAAAACAACAATTAAACGCGAACATGATGATCAGAAAACTCGTGAATTTTCTGTTGTTTATTTTAAAATTAGGTTAAGATTTCAATTGGTGTTATACTTTAGCAAAGCTACATCAACACTGGCATTGATTATGTGTGTTTGTTTATTTTATCGTAATGGGATGTTAACCTTCGTGTCATGTTAGCGGGCTAAAACGTTCCAAAGGGGTACTTATGTTGTGCATTTGTGTTTATCATGCGTGTCTTCCCGCCCATAGTGTCATGTTTGACGTGCTATTGTCATGGTTTTCAGTTTGCCGTGTTGATTTTCTGGTCCTACTCCATTAGCGATGTTGGTGACATCAATGCTGGCTCAAGTTTTCTTGCGTGAGTTGTAATTCAAATCTTAAATAAGAAATTTTTCGGGAGTTTGTGTAGAAATTAGTTTAAACATAAATATTTATAGGTAGTTCTGCATACGTCAGAACTCTATAGTATCGAAGAAAAGAAAGATTGGTCACCCCTTCAAGATGGCTGTTAACATTTCACATCACATTAAGAAAATATATTTAAAAAACAACGTTGAATCTCCGATAGATTGATTTCAATTTCATTTTACACACTTTTTTGTAGTTTTATCCGTTAACCGATAGTAAAAATTTTCCTGCACAACTGAAGTAGGAGCATGGGCGTAAAAACTGTTCGAAACTGTTTTAATTTTTGAGAAAACTTACCTAATTATCTCGGAAAATATAGATTTTGTTGTTCTTGGTATGCAAGTAAATTGAAATTGCTTTAATTTCTTCCAACATTGAAAATTTAAACAAAATTTTGTCGGTTAGTTACAGGATTTTACTTTCAGTACAATGCTCTGTTTCGACTTTATTGAATTTTTTGACAAATGCTCCTAGACTAGAAAGGTCTTTTGAAATTAAAATTTTTTAAATAATTTTCATCGTTCTGTGTTGGAGAGTGTGTGACCACATTTTTAGCATTTCATCTAGAACATTTTGATATTTTAAAAGCTTGATGACAAAAATACCTGCTGCATTATATTTATCGAATTGAATGCATTAAAGTTTGCATCAGTATTCATACCTCGGCACTTTGTCCTTCATGAATGTTCTATCAGTGATCGTTTGCGTGTTGTTGCTGCTTCTACTTCTGCTTGTTAGGTTGTTGGTGGTGCTGTTGATGCTGCTGCTTGTTAGGTTGTCGTTGTTGTTGTTGGTGAGCAATTCATTTTGTAACAATTTATTTTTTACAACTTATAAACCAAATATTATAAAATTAGCAAATTAATTAACGATCTCTTGGCATCTTTTGCAAATGCAAATCAGCCGGTTGTAAAACTTCTTTGTTTAATCTGTTAGTTAAAATCTTTTGTTGCATTATACGATATTCATTTATGATGAGTTCAAGGGAGTATAAATTGGGCAACAGACGTAAATGTTCCACAATTCAGTAATACACATCTAAAGATACTTTCAGACTCTTGAATTAAACCATCTAATCATAAATGGATAGTCCGGGAGCGCTCTGCAAAGGAGGATGCGGTTTTTATGGCAGCTCAGTGACGGATGGATACTGCTCGCTGTGCTACAAAGAGGAACTCAGAAAGAATCTTCATTTACAAAACAGGCAGTCTTCTAATGTTGCCTCACCTTCAGAATGTAAAAATGAAAATAGAACAAATCGAGCATATGCACTGGATTTGTCGAAAAATTACGGCCTTAATGATAGCGATGTCGCAGAATCATCATCTTTGAACTTGACCTTCGGAGATGTTAGAATAAATTTGAACGACATTTTCAATGAAGAGTTGTCAAATGACGAAGAGCCTGACAATAAAGAAGACACTGAATCTTCAAACGCCAGAAACAAGGCAGAAAATGTGGCATCTAAGACATTTAAAAGAAACAAGTGCCAAGTCTGCAAGAAAAGAGTGGGACTGACTGGTTTTGACTGCAGATGTGGGGGGCTGTTCTGCGGTCTGCACCGATACTCGGACACACATGGTTGCACCTTCAATTACGTGACCCAAGCTCAGAAAGAAAAAGAAAAACCCAAAAATTGAAAAACAAAAAATTGATAAAATTTAGCATTCTTTACATGAAAGTGTACAAATAAATTGTGTACATGTCTTTAAATCTATCAACTTTGATCTGTATTTGTATATGAAATGTAAATAAACTGATTATAGTTAGAAATGTGTTGTTAGTTTAATATTTTGAAATATATTAAAACAATATAATAATTACTAATCTATTAAATTAAAATCACAACTAACATTGCGGCAACAAATGAAAACTCAATAGCTATGTAACAAGATTTGAAGTGCGTCGAGAATTTTTTTTGACATTCAACAACGTGAACGATCATGCCAGGTAAACGTTTCAAATTTTACTTGGCATTATTGGGCACCATTCTTTGTTTGTGGTTGTGAAATGTTTAAATCGAAGCGTTGCAAATAACATAGCATACGTACAAGGAAACTACTACATTTTTTGAAAAGCTTATAAATTTTGTAAATTTGAATTAAATTGTATGAAAAACTATTTTTAAGTTAATTCGCGTTAATAAAAAAAATTTTTTTTAAATATAATCCAGACGTCTTCCGTTTTAAATACATTATATTTAGTCAAAAACATTTATTCAACCAGATATTTCGTTTCAAGTATAAATGTTTATTGTTTACATTGAATGTGAATTTGAATGTATATATTCGCAACTTTGTATTTCGTGGTAGTTTCATATGGGAGTGAACGAATTTGTACTGTTATGTGTGTTTCTCGTCACATTGATAGTGGATATTGCCATAGGCGGCTAGTTGTTCAAATTGTTAGGGGATTTGAAAATTACCGAAATTTAAATTTCTATTATTTTTGGTCAAACTGTAATTTAAAATTCTTTTTAATTTTTAATTAATTAAAAAGTCAAAAGTTTAAACTTTAAAATTTAAATAATAAAATTCTATTTTTAAATATCTTGAAAATTAAAAAATCTAATTTAAATACAGTTCTGTTGCAAACGATTCTCAGCGCTAATCATTCCAACAACTCTTAAGCAAATGCTGACTTGTTCTTCAATTGCAATGTCATATGTTTCGTCTGAAACTTTGGCATAATTTCTCAAATGAATAATACTTATAGCAGGTCTGAAAACGCTGTACGTCATAATTTCCAACAATTCATTTTGAATATCTTTTGAAGTTCATTGATATGATGTTTGTTCAAGCCAATGCAGTGGTTCAGGACTATCTTCTGCACGCAGACGTAGAAGACAGTAAAAATTCGAATCATCATCATGAGAACTTATAGCGGTATTTAGAAAAGACAAAGACATTTTTTCAAATATTTATTTTCAAATATTGAGGGGGTTCAAGATAGGCTTGAGCCCGAAGGGTTAAACTTGGGGGATTCAAGCCCGAAAGCCTGTTCAAGTTGTCAGTGGATATTCCCATCTATCATTAACGTTTCGTTCCTTTGTACTAACCTCAAAATTATTTCAACTCTTTATGCACAAAATATAGCTTGCAAATTTAGTTAATTAAGTTGGTCTGCGTATTTCTAAATTAGCAAATTAATTTAATATCATCTATCAATACATCACTTATGATCGTTATTATGCAAATTTTTTTTAATTAGCCTGCAAAGCATTTCATTTCATTAATACTACAATCGTTGGACTTAGTATTTCAAAATTAGCAAATTTTTTTACTATCATTCGATATTTTTGATGAAAATGCAAATCTCAGGATTATAAAATTCATTGTTAGTTCTCCTTATAATTACAATATTTAGCTTATGCTGCTGGGTAGTATAAGTAGAGCAGAAGTTGTGTGTAGAGACCATACTCGACTACTCGCCATTTGAAGACAAGTTTGAAGAAAATTTCTTGTTGTGAATTATTCAATTAAAAATGGAAGGTAGGGAAGATTTCGGTTTTTGCAAAGGTGGATGTGGGTTTTACGGCAGCTCAGCCACAAATGGATTTTGCTCATTGTGCTGGAAAAATGAAATCAGGAAGAATCCTGAACTAGGTAACAGGCTGACTGCTGATAATCAGCCGACATCCTCTCCTTTCACAATTGAGAATGCATCAAGTAGAAATTGGGAAAATGAAAGTGATGAAGAATTGTCATCATTAAATTTAAGCTTTGGAGAGTCTAGAAGAAATTTAAACGATATTTTTGACGAGAAGTTAAACGACAGTATGCCCAACTTTGAAAACACTGAAACTTCAAACGTCCCAAACAAGGAGGGAAATGTCGCAACTTCAAAAACTAAAAGAAACAAGTGCCACGTTTGTAAGAAAAGAGTGGGTCTGACGGGTTTCGATTGCAGATGTGGCGGGGTGTTTTGCGGTCTGCACCGATATTCAGACACCCACGGATGCACCTTCGATTACAAGGAAGAGGCGCGTAAGGAGATGACAAGGAAAAACCCAAAAGTCTCGTCTCAAAAAATTGAGAAGATTTAATTTGAGTAGGACATTTATAGAAGCAAATGTACTATAATGCGTATTTTTTTCTTTATGTACTATAATCGTGTTCGTTTTGAATTCAATTTCATGCTTATAAGACCGAGAATAAATGATTTGTAATGATTTTCAACGCATGTTTTTAATAAAATTTAATTAAATGAATTATCTCACATTTTGATGACAATTAATTTCTTAATTAAATTATTAAAAATTTAAAAATATCATGATGAGCAAAATGGCGGTTCCGTGTCGACGGCCATAGCAATTAATGAGGCGACAAGAGCTGAAAACCAATTAACTTGCCGAAGATTTAAGGAGCGCGAAAAAATTACTTATCCGCTCGTTTCATTGGACAATAAACTTCGTAAGCATCTGCGCCTCATCATAATTCGAATTGTAATCGTTGCTTGCACTGTGCGCTTAGACTTCTATTCACGCACTTGCATTTGTCTTTCTTGTTTTCATCAATAAATTTGTGTTATTTCTTTATAAATTTGTCAAAAAGATAAACTGATATTATATTAGCATCCGATCATTTAAAAAAATTTCTTTACCACGAGAATTTTTTGATTAAGTTTAAAACTTGAAAATATGCATACGTTGACAATTAACACAAAACAGGCAATTACGTGAATTATTATTGATGAAATAAATTATTAAATGCTTTGAAGATTATATATTCAAAATATGTGCTTTTCTTCATGTTTAATAATATATTCAACAATTACGAACCAACACAATTATATGAACACCAATCACATTGGTTAGCCAGCTAAGGAGTGTGTAGCTTGCGTTACTGGCCTTCGAGCTTTGAAACCAAATTTTTTAAACAGTTAGCGGTCGGTGAAGCAATTATTTGAATTTGCAGTTTCGGCTATCAAAACCATTTATATTTCAACTGAGTAAAACAATCACATTTGAGCTTGAGATAACAACTTTTACATAAACAAGTTTATTGCCTGGTTGTGAGATGAGGTTAGCAAATATGTGACAGCAGCTCATCAAAATTTTGAATATACTCTCGATTGAAAATGGAATAGATATATATTACTTATATTAAAATTACTGACATTCATTTGGATGAACATAACTACATTTTCCCGTTAATACAACCTTGTTTCAAGTTTGTATTAAAAATGTTTTGTTTCGTGATGGACAATAAACACGGACACGGTAAACGTAATATAAATTTAATGTTTGTTTTAAAAAAAATTTAGTAGAGGACAGGAATGACTTCAAATAAAAAAACTTTTGATGAAAAAATAGTTTAATATCATGAGTAAGGAGTGGTGACGTTCTCTTGAATATATACGACGCAATGATGCCTCGGAGATGATGCGATAGGAGCCTAATTTCAATGTTCCATCTTCACCCATGAGGTGCATTTGTTAGCTGGTGTCTGACCAATATTGATGGCACGTTGTTAGCAAAATTCTCTCTTTCTCTCTCTCTCTTTCTGCCACTCTCTCTCTCTCTTTTTCTTTTTCTCTCTTTCCGCCCTTGTTTATGATATTGTTACAGATGCTAGTCGTTAATTTTTTTTCTTATTTTTAAATGTTTTATGAATCCCCTGTTTTTTAGGCTCCTAAATTAGTTTTATGTTTGTCTTTGTCTTCCATTCCATCTTATTCCCATGTATTTGTTTCTTTTTTCATTATGTTTTCGATGTTGTGTCTGCTTTTGAAACTGGTTTGTATATTTTGACTTGTTCGTTTATGATGTTGACAATGTTGTTGCATATGAAAAAGAGTTTTCGATCGAATCATCATTCTTCATTTTTGCTGGCAACTGGCATGCGTGCGTGTTGTGTGGAGTTTTGTAATTTAGTAGAGTTCAATCGTGAAGTGTACACACATATAGGCCAAAATTATTTCAATTCATAATGATGATGATGATGTAGCATACATTCTAGGGTGCATACAATCAGCAGAAACATTGGAACAATATTTCTGACGAGTGACACTAGCATGGTTAGTTTGATTAATATTTGCAAACAACGATACCACAATAGAACAAAGTTAAACTTTATCGAATCAAATGTATGCAATAAAAATTAGAAACATTCATATTAAAACTAGCCAACCTGAATGTATGTTTGCTGATTTGTTGTTTGGAATGTGTACCAGTACATTCTCATACAAATACCTTTTAAAATATCTTTTAGAGGAGTTTGCCCAATTTCAAGTCTACAGGATAGATGAAGTTTTTACATAAAAAATCCAAAGCCACGTAGCAATCTATTATATCCAATCTTTTTTTTTCGTCCAATAACCTTATTGCATACGCTTAACATCAGATGACGTCATCATATTAGTGATGATGTCTGATCTTTAAATTAAAATTATTTTCATTGAAATAGTTTCAAATCAATGTCTCGAAATTCCAAAAATGAATTCGGTATTTTGTTATTGAAAACCAGTTGCAGATTCATTATTAATCCTTCTTTATTTGCGGCCATTCCGCGGAACATTATATTTTTTATTCTGAAAAAATCACCCTTCTCTCTCTCCTTTATCTTTCTCACTCTCTCTCTCTCTCTCTCTCTCTCTCTCTCTTTCTCTTCTCTCTCTCTATCTTTACTTGTTTGCATAATATTTTAGTGCTGTGGGAATAAATTTCAGAATTAAATAAATGTTCACTTTTAGTTTTTAGTATATTTTAACATTTCAAACTTTTATTTCGTCAGCAGTGTATTTGAAATGTATGTTGTGTTAATGAATTTGCGGTTTATTTACAATTCAAATGCCTTTAAATAAACACAAGTAAATAAATAAAAATACAAACATTTGTATGTGAACCTTTATACTGTATTATATACCTAGGCTGTTGTTGTTGTTGTTGTTGTTGTTGTTGTTGTTGTTGTTGTTGTACATACCTATGCACATATAAATATCACACGGAATAAAAAGATGTGGCAAACTTTATTGATTACAAAAAAGCATTAACATGTTTGGTAGGTAAGTAGAAAAAGTAATTTAATAACTAGTCATTTGTACCTTTCAAGAATATACATATGAAAATAAGCCAGAAAAACGACGAAACAACACAAAAAATCATCAACTACACTATAAACAACAGCATAAACCTCAACAACAACAACACGACACATCACTAACAACAACAAACCAACACTAAACAAACTAGCAACCCTTCCAACATGTGTGTTTGTAATAAAATAACAATTAGTTCAAAATTGGAAATTTATGGCCTTAATAAAAGAGTGAATATGAAACAAAAAAAAAAACGATGGGTTCTCAGTTTTGAATAGAAGAAAAGCTTTATGATGCAATGCATTTGGAGAAAGTAATTCATGGAAAACCTGAAAGGAAAATAAATAATAACAAAAATTTATCAAAAAAACTGGAATGACGACAAATCAACTGAAACTATTCAGCATCCAAGAACATGGAAAATACTCCAAGCAGCATGTACAGACATGAAAAACAGCGCTTTTTCAAAAGCCCTAAGCGTCTGACTGAGTACCCTTGAATCACGCGCCAGTATTGGAATGAAGTGGAGTGGTTTAATGTAGGTAGAACGGTTATTAGTATATTATTTCACGACGATTACATCACAGCACGGTAGAACGCAACACAGTGGTACAAACTGTGCAAAAAGCCCAAAACCAGTAAGAGATTTCAGTCAGTGAAATGTGCAAAGTGCTCCTACTACATAAAACACGTCGTCTAAAAACTTGAGTGTGTTCATATTGTGCTCTCACCATGATGGATTATTATTATTGTTCTCTTGCTTCACTGCTCTTCACGACTTGCTATTATAATTACTATTATTTTTTTAACTATATTATTATATTGTTATTATTATTTTTACATTTTTTTTATTAAAACCATACAATGGCTTAATTTGTACTGGCTTATGCATTGACTTGGGGTTAATATTCAGTATCCAGAGCTATATTTTTTATACCAACCATCCCATCCAGCCAATCAGCCAACCAACCAACCAACCAACCAGCCAAACAACCAACCAGCTGATGTAAAATAAATAAAAAGCTTCATTAAACCAGTTATCATATCGTCACATCACCTAATTGTTTTTGTTGCTTGTTAATAAGACCAATCTTATGAAGTAAATTTTAAAATATTTCAGGATTTTATGCAGTGCGCTCGTTATGAGATTGAAGTTTCAGAAGTAAGGTAAGCAAGGTGAAGCAGTATTTTCACGCGTTTTCTATTGTATAGTGCAGACGGCTTTAACGTATTTTATGTGATGGTTGTTATTTGTTGTGTCGTTGGTTGTGGATGTTGTGATTTATGTTGAAGGTGTTGGTGCTGTTGTTGTTGTTGTGTTGTTGTAATTGTTGGATTTATATTGTCGTAGTTGTTGAGATTTATGTGGTTGTTTTTGTTGAAAATGTTGTGAATCTGGTCGTTGTTGTGGTAGTGTTATTGGTAGTAGTAGTTGTTGCTTTTGTTGTGGTTTATGATGTTGTGGTTTATGATGTTGTGGTTGTTGTTGTTGTGGGTGTTGTGGCTTACGTTGTCGTTGCAGATAGAAGCACTCAAAGATTTTTTTTGTTGTCGTCCAAGCGGCAGTGATTGTTGAAGTGCCTGCTAAAGAATGATTTATACTCACCAGAAGATAAGGGTACTTCTTGTTTGTTTGGCATTCTGATCGTCAACAGCAACAACAAAATCCACCGCATAACATATTTATTTACTATCGATGTGTGTTCCTGTGTTTACGTAAGTATGTGATTCTACTGTGCACAAACTGAACATATATTACACGAGTGTAATTTAGTTTTACTAAATTACTACACAGCAATAACCTTCCTAGTACCAACAATCAAGATAACGACATCATCTTGTATTACAGAAATCACATGTCAACAGCATACAAGGTAGATGAAGCTATTTTTAAACATATCATCAATAAAAATGTCACACCAACCAACCCAAATAGTAAAGTAAAACTCCGAATTAATTACAACAATAAAAAGACGTCTCACCTAATACTGAAAAACAACTGCAGTCCTAGAGATAACTCTGAGTTAAAGCGTAATCACTTAATATATGAATTTAATTGCCCCTTTGACGACTGTGCACGTCAACATGACTCATATATCGGGATTACTACTACCTCACTGACTAGAAGGTTTACGATGCATAAACAGATGGTGCTATCAAATCTCATTTGGACTCAACACACTCAATCACAATTAGCCGTGAAATCCTCGACAGCAACACCAAAGTAATATACCAGAACAGCAACTACACGCATCTTAAAATTGCAGAAGCAGTCCTAATCGACATCAATAAACCAAAAATAAATATACAACAAAAAATGACAACCTCACTTCCAACCCGGCGCTTAACCAACAACGAAAACAAAGAAGTAATAAAAACTAGCATCGTAAATAGTGACAAAGAAGAATATGATGCTATCGATGAAGAAAAGGAGACCAAAGAAGATGACCAGCCAATTAAGAAACCTAACACCTAATTCGCATCAAAGTTCAATTTTACAACACCAAAGTTAATTTTTACAACGTGATGCTATCGATGAAGAAAAGGAGTAATAAATATCTTTTGTAATAAATATTTTCAAACAACTTTCAAATTCACATTTTTTAGAAAACACATTCACATTAACGCTCAATTAATACATTTGAAATTTTCAAACACGCAAGCCAAACGGAGGCAATTTTTTTTATTCCAAACAGAAGATAAAATTC